ATGTTTGCGTCAGGCATTGATTGAAACAATACATCTTGTCGTTGGTAGTGACACGTGGAACCAGTTCCAGTCTTCAGGAAGAGACTGGTTCAAAGAGCTGAAGATTAGGGTCTGTGGAATTCACCTCCTCGGCACCAGAAACAACATTGTGAACATTTTGAAGGTACATGAGGATGTTTCTGATGCGAAGATCACGGGGCACAAGGGTCCGCCTGTAAACTTTGATTTAAAAGGGGACGCTACTGCCAATTCCCTCCAATCACAGCCCGTGCCGTTCGCACTGCGTACCGCAGTAGAGGTTGAATTGAAAACTCTCGAGAACCAAGGTATTTTCGAACCGACAAAGCACTTAGAGTGGGCTATACCGGTGGTAGTTGTCCGAAAGAAAGGCGGGACCATTTGGCTATGTGAAGACTACCGAAGTACGGTAAACAAGGAGGCGAAAGCCGCAGTGCACCCTATGCTGACGATTCCAGAAATCCTAACCAATCTGCAAAACAGGTTGGTATTTTCTACACTGGACCTTGCTCAAGCGTATCAACAACTACAGTTAACAACAGAAACAGCCGACGTGTTAACCATTAACACTGCAAAAGGCCTCTACAGGGTAAAAAGGATGCCATTTGGGATCGCCGCCAACACCAGCGATTTTCTATCGATTCATGAAAGCAGTACTAGCTAAAATCCCGCGGATCGGGGTATACCTCGATGACGCTATCAGCGGTACGACCGCAGCAGAACATGACTCAACTGGATACAGTTTTGATGCGACTTGCTCAGGCTGGACTTCAACTCAAGAGGTGCAAGTTACGTTTTGCAGTGGAACAAGTTGTATACCTCGGATACATCATCGATACTGCCGGGATACACCCGACAGAGGAGAAACTGAAAGCGACCAAAGAGATGCCCGAACCAACATGCCAAAGAATGCTGCAGTCGTTTCTTCGTCTTCTAGCGTTTTTCGATCGGTTTTTGGCAAACAGGGCAACAATCACGAAAGACCTCTACATATTTCTAGAGAAAGACGTCCCCGGTGAATGGCAGGAAACAAATTGGCGAGCCTTTAGACAGTTAAAGTATGTTATTGCACAGCGTGCAGTTCTCGCACACTACGATAAAAACAAAAGCTTGAGCGTGTCATGTGACGCAACCCTCTACGGCATCGTCGCAGTATTAGCTCAGCTAGATTCAGATAGAAACAAAACACCGATCGTCTTTACATCAAGAATGCTCATTAAGGTCGAAAAGGATTTCTTCTAACTGGATTGTGAGGGGCTGGCTACTATCTTTGCCATACACCGTTTTCATCACTACGTCGCAAGGCGTCGCGTGAAAAGAATTACTCCCAATTGGATCGTAAAAGGCTGGCTATTATATTTGCCATGGACCGTTTTCATCGCTACGTTGCGGCGCATCACGTGACCATAACGACTGACCACCAACCACTGTTGGGCATCATAGGACAGGAGTCCCCAGTACCAACTGTGCTTTCACCAAGTAGGACATGCTGGTGTGTTAAGCTGGGAGCCTATGATTATAACCTAATCTCTAGACCAGGAAAGCGAAATTAAAACGCTGATGCTTTAGGCAGACTACCATTGCCCGAGACTGACAATGAGCAACATCCTTCAGGCAACGTACTGATGTTAGAAGCCCCGACGAAACCTCCCATGACTGAAAAGGAACTGGCCGACAACACAGCAGTGGATCCCATTCTTGCTGAGGTTTTCCGAACGGTCAAACACGGTGAAGTGAAAAAGCTGGAGCGTAGCGCAAGAAGCTGCATCAAGCAAGTGGAGCCTTGGCCTACATCAGACTACCGAGTAAACCTAGAGCAGTGCTGTTGCACCAATGCCTGTTTATCTCCATGCTGATACGCACTAGAAAGAAATGGAGGTGCATCCTGGTTGCAGAGGGCAGCTGCAGCCTTGTAGGATGGCAGCGTTGAGCAGAGGTGCAGCACAACTGCCATGAGCTCCCCCACATACTCTGTAATGAGACATTCAAAGCAATTAAAAAATCTGCACCAGCCACGTACAAATATGAGCACGGGCATATACCATAGGTGCAGTCAGTCTTGCGCTTAGCAACAGTGGGTCCTTTCTTTGCTTTTGGATACTTGATGACCCACATCTTCTCTCCTTTCTTGGTCACTGCTTGGGGCCTTCCCGCATTTTCGTTGTAATGGAGGGCAGCGAGGTAGGTCCTGTACAAGATATGCATGACAAAAAAACACCTAAACAGGAAATAACCAAATTTCTTACACACCTGGCCTTCATGCTTCGGAAGCTGAAGTGGACCTGCTTCGGCGCAAACTGCAACAGAGTACTATGAAAGCACTCTGTTGCAAATGTCTGCGCCGATGTGGACAGTCGAGGAATGTCGCGAAGCAGGTGAGTGGAGAGCACGATCTCCTCCAGCTTCTGGTGCGCAGGGGACCCTACAACAAGAACGTGGGACAGAGTGCAATGCAGAAAGCGTATTTCAAGCCTCACAAAAATAAAAATCTGTCCTTACCTTCTGCTAGCCACTTTTTCTCTAGCTCCTCATGCTCACACTCTGGGAAGAGAGGGTCAGCGTGGGTATGCACACCCACTACGTGTGCCACCAGAGACTTCCATTTTGGCAGGATGAGGTCCTGGTTGTCGACACTTGACCCAGCACACCAGTACAGATGGTTCACCACTGCCCTTGTCCAAGACCCGAGCTCCTCTAAATGCCGTGACTTGGCAGCTGCAGCCAGCTTTTTCTTGATGCCTGAAGTGAAATGTTGTAAACAAGGTAAACATGATGCATGCAGGGCACCTTTGGAAAGCCAACAGGCTCTTTTGAAACTCCAATGCCAGCTGGAACCTGTCACGCATACTTCAATCTCTTTTTTACTAGCAGCAGCAACAAAGCGTGGCCAAAGCTGGCAGACCTTCTTTTTCTGGAAGCTGCCACAACGCCGTTCATATTTTTATGTCTAGATATACCAGGTCTTTCAGTGAAAGCTTTTAAAAATTACTGAAAATAGGTTATCTGAAAAGCAAAGAGGCAAAACAAAAACAAAGAATTTTGAAGGCTACCACCATGGTAGTAAGTAAAGTAAAAAGTAAAAAGAAGCAACCAGCTTCAAGATAGTCACCAACAAACTTTGCGCCGTAATGGGTATGGCAGGACAGGTGCGTATAGTGATATCAAATTTCGAAAATCATACCCATTACAGCGCAAAGTCTGTCGGTGAATATCTCTAAGCCAGTTGCTTCTTTTTACTTTTTGTAAATTGCTTTAGATGACCATGGTGGCAGCCTTCAAAACCCTAATTGCAACATGGCCCTAAAAATTGCTAATTAGAAATTTAAATAGCCCATTTTAGTTAGTTAGATAGCTCAATTTTATATCTTTTGCAACTCTTAACACTTCCCACGGCTGGGGAAGTTTACATTTTCCCAAAGGCTGCCTTCAGGACCACTGCCCAAGCTGGTGATAGTCTCATTGGGATAGATGGAACCTTTTTAAATCTTACCCTTCCCCACATGCCAGCAATCAAAAAGGTGGCAGATATCTGGGTGTTCTCGTCCCAGCCAAGCATTGAGCTGGGGATGCCGGTCGGTTACCAGGATGGCCACAATCAACGAGTGGGCCTCAAAAATGCTGAGGGACCTCTTGAGGCCTTCCAGCTCCATATGATAGCTGCCCCCAGTTTCATTGGACTAAAAGAAACAAACAAGGACAACATGAAGCAGCACAAACGAAACAAAATATGCCAGTTTGTACACCTCAATGTCTGAACATTGAGGTGCGTGTCTTTCCATTGCTGTGTCCAAGTCACAGTAAAGGGAAATGGGTGTAACTCACATCTCTCGATTTTGTAATTCACATTTCCACACTTTGTAATGATGATAACAAATTATTAAAATAATTACAAGCTACATGGCCGAAAAAATGCTCAGCAGATATTTACCTAGTTGCAAGTATAACATTATATGCTTATGGCAGCATAGAATCTGGAGCACCTATAGAATTTGTGTACATACCTGGACGGTTTCAACGTGAATGACCTTGTTGTCATCGGCATCAAGCATCGTGTAGGAGCCATACTTGTCCGAGTGGCCAGGTGAGTCTGCTCTCCCGTCAGCGGCGATGGTGAGGTGCCTGCCTGCAGCAGCTGCGAACAACTCGTTCTGATGCTTGTTCCAGACCTGGTTACGAAAAATACAGGATAGGCAACTGGGCTTGAAACAGAGACCGAGTTTAAATTAGGTCACATTTTCTTTACACAATCTACTATTATGTCTTAATGAATGTGTTTTAATGGTTCGAGGACCAAATTTGGCCTACAAGACCAACACACGAGCAGAAAGAAGGAATTTCAGCCATGGGTTACTCCTTTCCAAACCAGGAACGAAACCACTGGTTTCTGTAGTAAACAGTTTCTAGGCCCACTTCATTGTGGTCACGAGGAGCAAAGAGCACAGGGAAAACATGGGGGGGGGGGGGGGGGTTTCTGTCAGTTTTTAACTTCAGAGTACCTTTTCGATTGAGGGCAGGAGAAAGGCCTTCTGGATGTTGAAAAAGGTGCCATAGGAGAAACAGACAATCCCCATGCTGGTGAGTGTTCTGAGTGTCTTCTTTACGCAGCTGCCACTGAACAGGATTGTCGCAGCCATTAGGATACTCCCCACCGGCTTCCGCTTGATGATGGGCTGGCTGCACCAGTCATTCACGTGTCCACTCCGACAAATTGAGTAGACTTGCAGGCTGCAGCCAACGACACTCTTGTCCACGTGGATCAGGGGAGCAGCACATACTTGGCACTTCCCCAGGAGAAGGTCAAGGCAAGACTCGAATACGATGAATTTCCTCTCCTTTACCAAAGATGGTGTTTCCCTCTCAAGCCTGCGACACAAAAACCAACATCATCTCAACAAACTGTCTAAGCATGATAGATGATCTCATAAATTCTTACACGACTGCATACGGACCTAACAGAGCTGTCCTCTGGTGGACAATACGTGGGGTCATCTCTTTCCAGTGGCTGCTTCCCTGATACACCCAGGTCTTCTGAATCAGAACTGCACAAAAGGGGGGTCACAAAGTGATGTCTGGGAGTTGCAGGGCCTCAGGGAACTCCTAAAACTAACACAGAAATAGGTGGAGAGGTTGTTGCCAGATGGCATTCAGATGCTCTAGGCATTGTAGGCCCAAGACCTTTGCATACCTCTGTTCTGGATCACCACAGTTTGACGAGGAAGAGGTCTGCGGCATAATTCCAGAAAGCTCCGTCTGCACTTTCTTGTTCCTCGATGGTATACATGCTTGTGTACCTAGCAAAAAAATCTAAGGCATTAGAAATGTGCTCCATTTAAATATAATGAATGGGTTTTTGACTTAAACTCTGTGTGCTAACTACACCAAGCTCTCTTTAACAAATACCAAACATCTGCACAGCTCAAACATCGAGATATATCTGACACCACCTCCTTCTCAGTTTAACTCGCTCAAGTAGAATTCGAACAGAATTAAAATGATTCTCGTGTCAGTATATTTAGTTTACATGAATGACCGTACCTGCGTTTCTGCCGAAGCCTGTTGTCTGCGTCATCACGGACCGTGTCTCGTAACGTGACGATGCTGAAAACACAGGATGTCTAGCAGCAGTCATTCCTCTCAAGGCTGCTGTAAAGTAAACGAAAAGCAGAAATAGTCAATGATTGAGAAACAAAGGAACCTTTGTAGCAACAAAAGCGCTGTGTAGATGTCAAACGTGACAATCACTTTGCCAATATGAAGAGGCCTTTGACGGTTTTGCTCGATACAGGTGACGCAAAAGAGTATAGTCCCCCTTCGATGTGCTTGCATACCTGTCTGGGTGCGGGCGTCGTCAGTCCATATCAGAGAGGTGGGGGAGGCCACAGGTGGACGCAGAATGTAAACCAACGCACCAAACGTACCTATGGACATATATCAATCAGCGTAAAGGTGCATGATTGAGCGACAAGAAAACTTTAGAAGCAACACAAGCACTGTGTACATGCGTCTGGTGGTTCTGCTTGAAGCAGGTGACACTACGAAGTATAGGTCCCGCTTGGAGCACCTGAGGGGGGATCGGTGGCCGAGTGGGCTAGCGCACACCAGCTCAGAGCACGTGGAGCGAAAGCTCGCGCTGCAGAACCCAAGATGCTGGGTTTTATCCCCACCCCTGCCTGTTTTGATCTGAATGAGCATCGTACCAGCGTGCGGTCGTGCATCACTACTGCGTGATGTTCGTTAAGGACCCCAGGTTAGTGGCTGTACTGCACTGGGTAAATTTCTCATCTACAGCTGGGAGACAAGTCGCCCGTTGAGGTAGACCAAGTTCTAGACTTTATAAACATACACACAACCCAATTTTTTTTTTGAAGTACCTGCATACCTGTCGGGGTGCAGGCTCCATTCGTCAGCGTCAAAGCAGTGGGTGAGGCCGCTGGTAGAGCCAGCCTGGAACCCAACGCTCGAGGGGCGCCTATGAACAGACATGAATCAGCATAGAAGTGCATGATCGAGACACAAAAAACCTTAGAGCAACATTAGCACTGTGTGGATGCGTCTGGCAGTTCCGCTTGAAGCAGGTGACACCACGCAGTATAGGTCCCATCGGAGTGCCTTCATACCTGTCGGGGTGCGGGCTCCATCTGTTCGTGTCGGAGCGGTCGGCGAGGCCGCAGGTGGGCAACCCAACGCTCCAGGGGCGCCTATGAACAGACATGAATCAGCATAGAAGTGCATGATCGAGACACAAAAAACCTTAGAGCAACATTAGCACTGTGTGGATGCGTCTGGCAGTTCCGCTTGAAGCAGGTGACACCACGCAGTATAGGTCCCATCGGAGTGCCTTCATACCTGTCGGGGTGCAGGCTCCATTCGTCCGCGTCAAAGCAGTGGGTGAGGCCGCTGGTAGAGGCAGCCTGAAACCCAACGCTCCAGGGGCGCCTATGAACAGACATGAATCAGCATAGAAGTGCATGATCGAGACACAAAAAACCTTAGAGCAACATTAGCACTGTGTAGATGCGTCTGGCAGTTCCGCTTGAAGCAGGTGACACCACGCAGTATAGGTCCCATCGGAGTGCCTGCATACCTGTCGGGGTGCAGGCTCCATTCGTCCGCGTCAAAGCAGTGGGTGAGGCCGCTGGTAGAGGCAGCCTGGAACCCAACGCTCGAGGGGCGCCTATGAACAGACATGAATCAGCATAGAAGTGCATGATCGAGACACAAAAAACCTTAGAGCAACATTAGCACTGTGTGGATGCGTCTGGCAGTTCCGCTTGAAGCAGGTGACACCACGCAGTATAGGTCCCATCGGAGTGCCTTCATACCTGTCGGGGTGCGGGCTCCATCTGTTCGTGTCGGAGCGGTCGGCGAGGCCGCAGGTGGGCAACCCAACGCTCCAGGGGCGCCTATGAACAGACATGAATCAGCATAGAAGTGCCTGATCGAGACACAAAAAACCTTAGAGCAACATTAGCACTGTGTGGATGCGTCTGGCAGTTCCGCTTGAAGCAGGTGACACCACGCAGTATAGGTCCCATCGGAGTGCCTTCATACCTGTTGGGGTGCGGGCTCCATCTGTTCGTGTCGGAGCGGTCGGCGAGGCCGCAGGTGGGCAACCCAACGCTCCAGGGGCGCCTATGAACAGACATGAATCAGCATAGAAGTGCCTGATCGAGACACAAAAAACCTTAGAGCAACATTAGCACTGTGTGGATGCGTCTGGCAGTTCCGCTTGAAGCAGGTGACACCACGCAGTATAGGTCCCGTCGGAGTGCCTTCATACCTGTTGGGGTGCGGGCTCCATCTGTTCGTGTCGGAGCGGTCGGCGAGGCCGCAGGTGGGCAACCCAACGCTCCAGGGGCGCCTATGAACAGACATGAATCAGCATAGAAGTGCCTGATCGAGACACAAAAAACCTTAGAGCAACATTAGCACTGTGTGGATGCGTCTGGCAGTTCCGCTTGAAGCAGGTGACACCACGCAGTATAGGTCCCATCGGAGTGCCTTCATACCTGTCGGGGTGCAGGCTCCATTCGTCCGCGTCAAAGCAGTGGGTGAGGCCGCTGGTAGAGGCAGCCTGGAACCCAACGCTCGAGGGGCGCCTATGAACAGACATGAATCAGCATAGAAGTGCATGATCGAGACACAAAAAACCTTAGAGCAACATTAGCACTGTGTAGATGCGTCTGGCAGTTCCGCTTGAAGCAGGTGACACCACGCAGTATAGGTCCCATCGGAGTGCCTGCATACCTGTCGGGGTGCGGGCTCCATCTGTTCGTGTCGGAGCAGTCGGCGAGGCCGCAGGTGGGCAACCCAACGCTCCAGGGGCGCCTATGAACAGACATGAATCAGCATAGAAGTGCATGATCGAGACACAAAAACCTTAGAGCAACATTAGCACTGTGTAGATGCGTCTGGCAGTTCCGCTTGAAGCAGGTGACACCACGCAGTATAGGTCCCATCGGAGTGCCTGCATACCTGTCGGGGTGCAGGCTCCATTCGTCCGCGTCAAAGCAGTGGGTGAGGCCGCTGGTAGAGGCAGCCTGGAACCCAACGCTCCAGGGGCGCCTATGAACAGACATGAATCAGCATAGAAGTGCATGATCGAGACACAAAAAACCTTAGAGCAACATTAGCACTGTGTGGATGCGTCTGGCAGTTCCGCTTGAAGCAGGTGACACCACGCAGTATAGGTCCCGTCGGAGTGCCTTCATACCTGTTGGGGTGCGGGCTCCATCTGTTCGTGTCGGAGCGGTCGGCGAGGCCGCAGGTGGGCAACCCAACGCTCCAGGGGTGCCTATGAACAGACATGAATCAGCATAGAAGTGCATGATCGAGACACAAAAACCTTAGAGCAACATTAGCACTGTGTGGATGCGTCTGGCAGTTCCGCTTGAAGCAGGTGACACCACGCAGTATAGGTCCCGTCGGAGTGCCTTCATACCTGTTGGGGTGCGGGCTCCATCTGTTCGTGTCGGAGCGGTCGGCGAGGCCGCAGGTGGGCAACCCAACGCTCCAGGGGTGCCTATGAACAGACATGAATCAGCATAGAAGTGCATGATCGAGACACAAAAAACCTTAGAGCAACATTAGCACTGTGTGGATGCGTCTGGCAGTTCCGCTTGAAGCAGGTGACACCACGCAGTATAGGTCCCATCGGAGTGCCTTCATACCTGTCGGGGTGCGGGCTCCATCTGTTCGTGTCGGAGCGGTCGGCGAGGCCGCAGGTGGGCAACCCAACGCTCCAGGGGCGCCTATGAACAGACATGAATCAGCATAGAAGTGCATGATCGAGACACAAAAAACCTTAGAGCAACATTAGCACTGTGTGGATGCGTCTGGCAGTTCCGCTTGAAGCAGGTGACACCACGCAGTATAGGTCCCGTCGGAGTGCCTTCATACCTGTTGGGGTGCGGGCTCCATCTGTTCGTGTCGGAGCGGTCGGCGAGGCCGCAGGTGGGCAACCCAACGCTCCAGGGGTGCCTATGAACAGACATGAATCAGCATAGAAGTGCATGATCGAGACACAAAAACCTTAGAGCAACATTAGCACTGTGTGGATGCGTCTGGCAGTTCCGCTTGAAGCAGGTGACACCACGCAGTATAGGTCCCGTCGGAGTGCCTTCATACCTGTTGGGGTGCGGGCTCCATCTGTTCGTGTCGGAGCGGTCGGCGAGGCCGCAGGTGGGCAACCCAACGCTCCAGGGGTGCCTATGAACAGACATGAATCAGCATAGAAGTGCATGATCGAGACACAAAAAACCTTAGAGCAACATTAGCACTGTGTGGATGCGTCTGGCAGTTCCGCTTGAAGCAGGTGACACCACGCAGTATAGGTCCCATCGGAGTGCCTTCATACCTGTCGGGGTGCGGGCTCCATCTGTTCGTGTCGGAGCAGTCGGCGAGGCCGCAGGTGGGCAACCCAACGCTCCAGGGGCGCCTATGAACAGACATGAATCAGCATAGAAGTGCATGATCGAGACACAAAAAACCTTAGAGCAACATTAGCACTGTGTGGATGCGTCTGGCAGTTCCGCTTGAAGCAGGTGACACCACGCAGTATAGGTCCCATCGGAGTGCCTGCATACCTGTCGGGGTGCGGGCTCCATCTGTTCGTGTCGGAGCAGTCGGCGAGGCCGCAGGTGGGCAACCCAACGCTCCAGGGGCGCCTATGAACAGACATGAATCAGCATAGAAGTGCATGATCGAGACACAAAAACCTTAGAGCAACATTAGCACTGTGTGGATGCGTCTGGCAGTTCCGCTTGAAGCAGGTGACACCACGCAGTATAGGTCCCATCGGAGTGCCTGCATACCTGTCGGGGTGCGGGCTCCATCTGTTCGTGTCGGAGCAGTCGGCGAGGCCGCAGGTGGGCAACCCAACGCTCCAGGGGCGCCTATGAACAGACATGAATCAGCATAGAAGTGCATGATCGAGACACAAAAACCTTAGAGCAACATTAGCACTGTGTGGATGCGTCTGGCAGTTCCGCTTGAAGCAGGTGACACCACGCAGTATAGGTCCCATCGGAGTGCCTGCATACCTGTCGGGGTGCGGGCTCCATCTGTTCGTGTCGGAGCAGTCGGCGAGGCCGCAGGTGGGCAACCCAACGCTCCAGGGGCGCCTATGAACAGACATGAATCAGCATAGAAGTGCATGATCGAGACACAAAAAACCTTAGAGCAACATTAGCACTGTGTGGATGCGTCTGGCAGTTCCGCTTGAAGCAGGTGACACCACGCAGTATAGGTCCCATCGGAGTGCCTTCATACCTGTTGGGGTGCGGGCTCCATCTGTTCGTGTCGGAGCGGTCGGCGAGGCCGCAGGTGGGCAACCCAACGCTCCAGGGGTGCCTATGAACAGACATGAATCAGCATAGAAGTGCATGATCGAGACACAAAAAACCTTAGAGCAACATTAGCACTGTGTGGATGCGTCTGGCAGTTCCGCTTGAAGCAGGTGACACCACGCAGTATAGGTCCCATCGGAGTGCCTGCATACCTGTCGGGGTGCGGGCTCCATCTGTTCGTGTCGGAGCGGTCGGCGAGGCCGCAGGTGGGCAACCCAACGCTCCAGGGGTGCCTATGAACAGACATGAATCAGCATAGAAGTGCATGATCGAGACACAAAAAACCTTAGAGCAACATTAGCACTGTGTGGATGCGTCTGGCAGTTCCGCTTGAAGCAGGTGACACCACGCAGTATAGGTCCCATCGGAGTGCCTGCATACCTGTCGGGGTGCGGGCTCCATCTGTTCGTGTCGGAGCAGTCGGCGAGGCCGCAGGTGGGCAACCCAACGCTCCAGGGGTGCCTATGAACAGACATGAATCAGCATAGAAGTGCATGATCGAGACACAAAAAACCTTAGAGCAACATTAGCACTGTGTGGATGCGTCTGGCAGTTCCGCTTGAAGCAGGTGACACCACGCAGTATAGGTCCCATCGGAGTGCCTTCATACCTGTCGGGGTGCGGGCTCCATCTGTTCGTGTCGGAGCGGTCGGCGAGGCCGCAGGTGGGCAACCCAACGCTCCAGGGGTGCCTATGAACAGACATGAATCAGCATAGAAGTGCATGATCGAGACACAAAAAACCTTAGAGCAACATTAGCACTGTGTGGATGCGTCTGGCAGTTCCGCTTGAAGCAGGTGACACCACGCAGTATAGGTCCCATCGGAGTGCCTGCATACCTGTCGGGGTGCGGGCTCCATCTGTTCGTGTCGGAGCAGTCGGCGAGGCCGCAGGTGGGCAACCCAACGCTCCAGGGGTGCCTATGAACAGACATGAATCAGCATAGAAGTGCATGATCGAGACACAAAAAACCTTAGAGCAACATTAGCACTGTGTGGATGCGTCTGGCAGTTCCGCTTGAAGCAGGTGACACCACGCAGTATAGGTCCCATCGGAGTGCCTGCATACCTGTCGGGGTGCGGGCTCCATCTGTTCGTGTCGGAGCGGTCGGCGAGGCCGCAGGTGGGCAACCCAACGCTCCAGGGGCGCCTATGAACAGATATGAATCAGCATAGAAGTGCATGATCGAGACACAAAAAACCTTAGAGCAACATTAGCACTGTGTGGATGCGTCTGGCAGTTCCGCTTGAAGCAGGTGACACCACGCAGTATAGGTCCCATCGGAGTGCCTGCATACCTGTCGGGGTGCGGGCTCCATCTGTTCGTGTCGGAGCAGTCGGCGAGGCCGCAGGTGGGCAACCCAACGCTCCAGGGGCGCCTATGAACAGATATGAATCAGCATAGAAGTGCATGATCGAGACACAAAAAACCTTAGAGCAACATTAGCACTGTGTGGATGCGTCTGGCAGTTCCGCTTGAAGCAGGTGACACCACGCAGTATAGGTCCCATCGGAGTGCCTGCATACCTGTCGGGGTGCGGGCTCCATCTGTTCGTGTCGGAGCGGTCGGCGAGGCCGCAGGTGGGCAACCCAACGCTCCAGGGGTGCCTATGAACAGACATGAATCAGCATAGAAGTGCATGATCGAGACACAAAAAACCTTAGAGCAACATTAGCACTGTGTGGATGCGTCTGGCAGTTCCGCTTGAAGCAGGTGACACCACGCAGTATAGGTCCCATCGGAGTGCCTTCATACCTGTCGGGGTGCGGGCTCCATCTGTTCGTGTCGGAGCAGTCGGCGAGGCCGCAGGTGGGCAACCCAACGCTCCAGGGGCGCCTATGAACAGACATGAATCAGCATAGAAGTGCATGATCGAGACACAAAAACCTTAGAGCAACATTAGCACTGTGTGGATGCGTCTGGCAGTTCCGCTTGAAGCAGGTGACACCACGCAGTATAGGTCCCGTCGGAGTGCCTTCATACCTGTTGGGGTGCGGGCTCCATCTGTTCGTGTCGGAGCAGTCGGCGAGGCCGCAGGTGGGCAACCCAACGCTCCAGGGGCGCCTATGAACAGATATGAATCAGCATAGAAGTGCATGATCGAGACACAAAAACCTTAGAGCAACATTAGCACTGTGTGGATGCGTCTGGCAGTTCCGCTTGAAGCAGGTGACACCACGCAGTATAGGTCCCATCGGAGTGCCTGCATACCTGTCGGGGTGCGGGCTCCATCTGTTCGTGTCGGAGCAGTCGGCGAGGCCGCAGGTGGGCAACCCAACGCTCCAGGGGCGCCTATGAACAGACATGAATCAGCATAGAAGTGCATGATCGAGACACAAAAACCTTAGAGCAACATTAGCACTGTGTGGATGCGTCTGGCAGTTCCGCTTGAAGCAGGTGACACCACGCAGTATAGGTCCCGTCGGAGTGCCTGCATACCTGTCGGGGTGCGGGCTCCATCTGTTCGTGTCGGAGCGGTCGGCGAGGCCGCAGGTGGGCAACCCAACGCTCCAGGGGTGCCTATGAACAGACATGAATCAGCATAGAAGTGCATGATCGAGACACAAAAAACCTCAGAGCAACATTAGCACTGTGTGGATGCGTCTGGCAGTTCCGCTTGAAGCAGGTGACACCACGCAGTATAGGTCCCGTCGGAGTGCCTTCATACCTGTTGGGGTGCGGGCTCCATCTGTTCGTGTCGGAGCGGTCGGCGAGGCCGCAGGTGGGCAACCCAACGCTCCAGGGGTGCCTATGAACAGACATGAATCAGCATAGAAGTGCATGATCGAGACACAAAAACCTTAGAGCAACATTAGCACTGTGTGGATGCGTCTGGCAGTTCCGCTTGAAGCAGGTGACACCACGCAGTATAGGTCCCGTCGGAGTGCCTTCATACCTGTTGGGGTGCGGGCTCCATCTGTTCGTGTCGGAGCGGTCGGCGAGGCCGCAGGTGGGCAACCCAACGCTCCAGGGGTGCCTATGAACAGACATGAATCAGCATAGAAGTGCATGATCGAGACACAAAAACCTTAGAGCAACATTAGCACTGTGTGGATGCGTCTGGCAGTTCCGCTTGAAGCAGGTGACACCACGCAGTATAGGTCCCGTCGGAGTGCCTGCATACCTGTCGGGGTGCGGGCTCCATCTGTTCGTGTCGGAGCGGTCGGCGAGGCCGCAGGTGGGCAACCCAACGCTCCAGGGGTGCCTATGAACAGACATGAATCAGCATAGAAGTGCATGATCGAGACACAAAAAACCTCAGAGCAACATTAGCACTGTGTGGATGCGTCTGGCAGTTCCGCTTGAAGCAGGTGACACCACGCAGTATAGGTCCCGTCGGAGTGCCTTCATACCTGTTGGGGTGCGGGCTCCATCTGTTCGTGTCGGAGCGGTCGGCGAGGCCGCAGGTGGGCAACCCAACGCTCCAGGGGTGCCTATGAACAGACATGAATCAGCATAGAAGTGCATGATCGAGACACAAAAACCTTAGAGCAACATTAGCACTGTGTGGATGCGTCTGGCAGTTCCGCTTGAAGCAGGTGACACCACGCAGTATAGGTCCCGTCGGAGTGCCTTCATACCTGTTGGGGTGCGGGCTCCATCTGTTCGTGTCGGAGCGGTCGGCGAGGCCGCAGGTGGGCAACCCAACGCTCCAGGGGTGCCTATGAACAGACATGAATCAGCATAGAAGTGCATGATCGAGACACAAAAAACCTTAGAGCAACATTAGCACTGTGTGGATGCGTCTGGCAGTTCCGCTTGAAGCAGGTGACACCACGCAGTATAGGTCCCATCGGAGTGCCTGCATACCTGTCGGGGTGCGGGCTCCATCTGTTCGTGTCGGAGCAGTCGGCGAGGCCGCAGGTGGGCAACCCAACGCTCCAGGGGCGCCTATGAACAGACATGAATCAGCATAGAAGTGCATGATCGAGACACAAAAACCTTAGAGCAACATTAGCACTGTGTGGATGCGTCTGGCAGTTCCGCTTGAAGCAGGTGACACCACGCAGTATAGGTCCCGTCGGAGTGCCTTCATACCTGTTGGGGTGCGGGCTCCATCTGTTCGTGTCGGAGCGGTCGGCGAGGCCGCAGGTGGGCAACCCAACGCTCCAGGGGTGCCTATGAACAGACATGAATCAGCATAGAAGTGCATGATCGAGACACAAAAAACCTTAGAGCAACATTAGCACTGTGTGGATGCGTCTGGCAGTTCCGCTTGAAGCAGGTGACACCACGCAGTATAGGTCCCATCGGAGTGACTTCGTACCTGTCGGGGTGCGGGCTCCATCTGTTCGTGTCGGAGCGGTCGGCGAGGCCGCAGGTGGGCAACCCAACGCTCCAGGGGCGCCTATGAACAGACATGAATCAGCATAGAAGTGCATGATCGAGACACAAAAAACCTCAGAGCAACATTAGCACTGTGTGGATGCGTCTGGCAGTTCCGCTTGAAGCAGGTGACACCACGCAGTATAGGTCCCATCGGAGTGCCTTCATACCTGTCGGGGTGCGGGCTCCATCTGTTCGTGTCGGAGCGGTCGGCGAGGCCGCAGGTGGGCAACCCAACGCTCCAGGGGCGCCTATGAACAGACATGAATCAGCATAGAAGTGCATGATCGAGACAAAAAAAGCCTTAGAGCAACATTAGCACTGTGTGGATGCGTCTGGCAGTTCCGCTTGAAGCAGGTGACACCACGCAGTATAGGTCCCATTGGAGTGCCTGCATACCTGTAAAGGTGCTGGCACTGTCTGTCCGCGTTATTGCAGTGGGGGAGGCCGCAGGTGCAACCAGCCGACATGCCAACACACTTGGAGTCACTGGAGAGATGCAAGAGAGAAGACGGAAGAATGTTAAGGGGGTGTTATTGCTTTTGGCCCAGGAGTATGGGCCCACTGGTGCAGCACTCACAGCCCACACATTGTTACGTTAAAAAACATTCAAGTTACGTCAATAACCTTACCTGTTCTAACGGCTGTTTCTTCTAGCTCGTTTGTAGGCTCCCAACATGTGTCTGCACCTCCGACCAGGAAGTTGGTGGAATCACGCAGAGGTGCCTGATGCTCAGGGGAAAATAGCATATGATTTACTGGCCATTAAGAAAAATAAAGTGCATGGAAATTTAGAGAGGTGGATGGTTGTCGTTGCAGATACGCTCTACACTGTAGGTAGGAAATCCAGCCAGTGCAGTACTACCGCTACCCCGGGGTTTTGAAGGGACGTCACATACTACTGATATACTACCGCATGCCAGCACAATGTTTATCCAAGTTAAGACTGGTAAGGTAGGGGTCGAACCCTAGATCCTTGAATTGCTGCAGTGCGTGCGTTCGATCCGGCGCTCTAACCCACCTTGCCAAAGCTCTTCGATGATGAGCGGAACGGCTTGAAAAAGAAAGCACGATCGGCCACTGCTGAACCGCATGAAAGCGATTTGGCGAGCGATGAGCTAGGCTATCGCTGGTCGCTGTCGCCTGTCGCAGTGTTCGGTTCTAAATTCCCTGAACACTTTGGTCATCGCCTGGAGGTCACTGTGTGCGATTTGCCTCGGCGAGTGACGAACTGAGCAACAGGTCTCCTGGAAAATCGCTCACATGCTGGATGAAACAGACAAGCATAAACCGCATGAAAGCGACTTGGCAAGTGACGAGACAAGCAACGGCGACCCGCTTCGCTGTTGCTCGGTCGGTCGCGCGAGGAGGCAAACCGCATGAAAGCGACGGGGGCAAGTGGCCAGGACGGTGAGCGACGTTTTCTAGAAGAGTAAAGCTATACGCACTATGTCGTGCACCTCGATCGGAAATGGCTATAAACACTACGCAGAGAGCTGATGCCATCATGCAATTTGGGTCACCCTTTTCGGACGGCGTGTGTTTAACCGAACCTTACCCCCCTTGCCTGCGTTCAAGCCGCTTCGCGGCGACACTGTGCGGCTGCTAATTGCAAAACTTAACCTGTACACGCCGCTTCGCGGCGTCCAGCCGGCAACCCAAGCCCCGCTGTCCCCTCCTGCACCTCCGGAAAGCGAGTCCCATACCATTCAGTTCTGCAAAATTTCGTAAATATCAATCCTTATCTTTTTTTTTTTCAGTGTTATTTGTAGTAAAGAAATGTCTTAAACATCGTAAATGCCCTACAAAAAAAAATAGTGATAAAAAAAAAAAAAAAAAAAACTAAGGAAACGTCGCCCTCATTGGGGATCGAACCGCGGACCGCTGCGTATAAAGCAGACACCTTACTATCATGCTACGCCACCTCTTTGGAAACTCGCCGCTGATACGAGCTTCGCGTAGTGCGTAGGGCCATTTCCAGTCAAGGTGCACGACGTAGTGCGTATAGCTTTACTCTTTCCAGTAATCTAAGAACCGGGCGATGCGACTGGCGACTGGCGACAGTGAGAAATCTCCGTCGCTCGTCGCAGACTCTCGACTCCGTCGCTCGTCGCAGACTCTCGACGCCGTCGCTCGTCTCGTCACTCGCTAAATCGCTTACATGCGGTTCGGCTTTCATTGCAGAACTCGGAAATACTCGACAGACAACATGCTCCCTTACCACTCTGCGTCGCTTGTCAAGGGGTTCGCTGCGCTCGCCAGATCTCCGCTTCTTTGAAAATAAACGGGGCAAAACTCCTGGTTTGAGTTGTACGTTCCTCACCGGGAAGCCCAAGGACTCCATCACCCTGGGGCTTCGCACGTAGTCCTCATCACGAAAGTGATAGGAACACAAGCGATCACTCGTAGTTGGAAGCCACGCCGGGGAGGACGGTCGTGCGAGCCGGATCCAAAGCGCACGAAGTTGTTCGTCCTTTGGGAACTGGTGAATAGGTTTTCCGCACCGAATCAGGAGGTTGCCGCAGTCCTCTACCGCACAGTGCCGCACCATCTCGGCATTAGAACGCGACAGGATGATCTAAGCGTTCTAGAGACCGAGGTACGCAAGCGATCGGGCCACCACAACTCAATGCAACGAGTCCACCGTCGCCATCGTCGGGAAAATGGCGAAGGGGTGAAGGCAGAGCAGGCAGCGAAGGCTTGATAATTGCGTTCAGAACTAGAGAAGAGACGTAGTGAGCCGTACTTCCGCAGAGCGGCGCTGCTCCGTTCTTCCAGGAGACAACCCGTGAGACGACCTAGGTCACTTCCCGGCAATGTACCTAGACGGACATTCCAAACGAGGCGTTCGCGACAAACACCAGGTGCTGTTTGGGAATCGTTTAATTCGTTCTAAAATTCGTTTTCGTGACTTTTTTAACAAGATATTGGTGTGTTCGATGTGATACTGCTCCTTTGAACACATATAGACCATAAAATAGGCGCCAAAATTTCGTTGTAGTATCCCTTTAACATTGTCGACCCATCCCTTCCTCGCGTGCGCTCCCTCCCAGCGGCGATGAATGTATTTTTCTTCGGTTCCTTTCCCTTCTGAAATGTCTCAGCGTACCTTGGCATGCAGTCAGCGGCTCACACGCAACGCAAATTTACCAGAATCAGAGCCCGTACGAGGGAAGATGTCGCATCGGAAATTCGGAGTCGGTTCATTCGAAAAGTGGGGAGCTGCGGGACTACGCTTAGTCCCGCGGTTACGGGGATAATCAAAAATATAAATTTGGTACTTTTAAACTTGGTAACGCGTTGTATATTACGTTTATATTATATATATAATAAATTGTGCAAGACTGCGCTTTTAAAACGTGTATTAATGTCGGATAAACGCGCACGAACATTAATGCGCCGATACGCGTCGACAGCGCATTTTCTCACGTAGTTGCGCCATGGCCTTCCTTCAAGGAGGTTATAATGGGCAGGAGGTGGCGTCCCTATCCCCAATGCATGGAGCGAAGTGTAACGGAAGTAGGCGTGGCCACGAGCCGCAACGAGCATTTCTTGACCAATGGGAAGCCTAGTGAGTGGATGCCGCCATTAATTTCGGTGCAAACAACCGCGTTGCCATGACATTTCCGTGGCAACGCGATTGTGTGCACCGAAAGTAATGGCGGCACCCACTGTTATTTGAAACAGCGCTTATCGGGAGACTTTTAAACCGCCTGGTTCCCTAGCAGAAAGTGACTAGAATTGAGACGCTCTAGACGACGCACCGTGAAGGACTTGGCGGTGCGCAACGCATTTTTTAATAAACAGCAGCAGCAGATCGCACGAGCGCGCATGCAAGCCAGGAGCGCACAGAAAAACGGGCTCGCGCTTCCGGTTCTGACTTCGCTCGCACATAATGTGGAACTAAGTATGAACACTCACGCTGCAAAGCATTTGCATCGTGGACGCCCACGGCGGACGCCGACCGCATCGAAAGCTAGCCTCGTGAAGCACACGCCGGAGCAAATTAGAAAGCAGACGAACCGCCGGTGCGCTACCCCACGGCCTCGGAACGGGTGCGCAAGGCAGTCTGGGATTAAACGCCTCTTCCGGCTTCACTCAGGCTGACGTCATGCCGGGTCCCGTCTGTTTAAACGTCCTTGCCTTCCTTCCTCCGCCATTGTGACGTGCCCACTCGGAGCGCTATGGCCTTGTCTTCTAGGAGGTGTTGGGCGGAGGCCCCCTCGCCGCGAGCTCCGCCGTCGCCGTGCGCGCCTCGCCAGTCTGCGCAAGCGCGAGGAGCAGTGACGTCACACGGCGCACAACTGGCGTGCCGGAGCCCCCGCGGGCTCCTCCGCCACCGCGAGCGCCTCGCCGGTCTTCGTATTCCAGAGTAGTGACGTCATAGCCGCGGGAGACTCACTGGCGCCGCCGCGTGCCCAGCTGTGTGCCTCTGTTGCGCAGTAGCCAAGTATGACGCTGCACCGGAGCTGCTTGATAGCGCCTCTCATTTTGTGCGCATAAGCTCGCGCTACGTGTATCCTGGCATAGCCGAGCTAAACCAGCGCAATTTTTTTTCTTCGGAATGCCGACAAGCCGGCGGTCGAGAACTCGGCCCCTCGGCGATCAACACAGCTCCAGTATAGATGCCGCCGAAAAAACTTCAAGAGAAAACAAAGCTGAGTAAGCATCGGTTAATGCGGCCCACATACGTTCCTTTACGTACTTAACGAGTTCTGTCGTAGACGACCAGATCGTTTGTAACTAGGTAAGCCAAAACGCGTATGCACACAGCAGAACGTTGCACTCGAGGTCAACGGCCTCATCTTCATGCGGCGAACATTGCACAGGGTGTCCCTCCAAAAATATGTGCAGGGTCTTTTTTTATCGCAAAAATAACTACGCATCACCGAAGGCTTATTCTCTCCCCCAATGCAGTGCTAGCGGATCGAACCACATGCCGAAGTTTCGGGACAAATCGGCGTCTTGTTTAAAGGACTTGAAATGTTCACGCTACGTGTATCCTGGCATAGCCGAGCCGGTGGCAATCAGTTCATCGAACGACGTTTCATGGACAAATCGTTTCGTCGACACTGCGATGTTTCATCGACAGATCGTTTTGTGGAAACGAGCACCCGCTCGTTTCATCGACAGATGTGGCGACGTTTCGTCGGCAGCTCGCTCTGCCAGCTCCCGGCTCCGCCAGCTGCGCCTCCTCGCGACCTCTGCGCCTGCGCGGCGCGCGGCCTTGTGTTGGATGAATGGATAGATGAAGGATGGCCGACTGGGCCAAGTATGGCGAACCAGTGCGCAGCCATCTTGCCTCACCAACTTAAGCTATCGCAATTTTTTTTTGCTTATTTTTTATTTTTTTTTTATTTGAGAGGGGGGGGGGGGGGGGGGCTTGCCGATTGCACTGATTTCGGAAGTGCGCAGCCATCTTGCCTCACCAACTTAAGCTATCGCAATTTTTTTGCTTATTTTTTTATTTTTTTTTCATTTGAGAGGGGGGGGGGGGGTTTGCCGATTGCACTGATTTCGGAAGTGCGCAGCCATCTTGCCTCACCAACTTAAGCTATCGCAATTTTTTTTGCTTCTTTTTTTATTTTTTTATATTTGAGAGGGGGGGGGGGGGGGCTTGCCGATTGCACTGATTTCGGAAGTGCGCAGCCATCTTGCCTCACCAACTTAAGCTATCGCAATTTTTTTTTGCTTGTTTTTTTTATTTTTTTTTATTTGAGAGGGGGGGGGGGGCTTGCCGATTGCACTGATTTCGGAACTTACGATTTGAATGGTTTCGCTCGTGTCTTTGCCCGAACCTTTGGGGAAGCGTTGTCAAAGCCCGGAAGTTTTGTTATCGACCCCCCCCCCCCCCCCCCCCCCCCCAGTGTCCTTTCTCAAATTAGATTTTTAAAACATTCAACAATATGCGCTGCTCTTGTGGGCTACGCTTTCGGCAGCATACGTGAACGAGGTGTCTGTACGTCATCGAATGCAACCCTTCGCGGGCTAGCCGCCGGCACTCCGACTGTTTTGAAAAAGTGGCAGGATCGTTTCCAGAGCAAGTGTACCTTTCCGCGCGTCGCGTCTTTTGGCAGAATCTTCAATCGATAGTCCACACGTCAAAACACTGAAGCTCTTAAAGACAATTTGAAAAAATAAACGAGGCCTGTTTGCGGTGCACACAGCCTTCCTACCGTTTAAAATGGCATAAAATTGGTTTTCAAGCTAAATGGCATCTGGTCTTAGCCGCTAGCAATAAACTTTGAAGGAGACTGAAAATTTTCTTACGCGTGGTTTAGTTTTACGGTGATAAAACACGGTTGTTTTCTCCTTCAAACACTGGGTATTCAACGTACTGTACTTACCAGACCGCATACAATTTTTAGTCTTTAGCATATTTAGCTTCTGGATAATGAATAACACAATAATTCTGCATATGTTATGCCTGTACTGAAATTTTGCGTGCAGATAAACCAATATGTGATCAAAGAACATTATATTTGGAAGCCGCTCTTTTATAAAAAAGAGCTACGAACTTGCCCCAGGTATCTGTCTGCTGGCATCGATAAAAGAACAATTTAATGTCGCTTGTGAGGACCAGTCGGCTGCTGCCGACAGATTTCGTCTAGTGGTACTACCGCCTCCAAGGCCTTGCACGTGGCGGCTGCTCGAGAGAAGCTATATAATGCATTAAGATGCACACTCGATATCAACTATGGTTTACTTTGTGTAATATGACTAAACTTGGTGTACTGTTTTATTTGGGAGGCACTCACTTGATCGAATGACGTTTTAGCGAACGCCCACGTTTCACCGAATGACACTTTAGCGAATAGTCGGACGCCGCGAAGCGGCGTTTTCGGGTGGGCCAATTGGGTTCACATTTTTGTAATAAGCCGCCGCAGACTGTCGCCGCGAAGCGGCGAAAAGCGCAACGCGGCGGTTGGGTTAACGCGCGCCCCCGTTATTAGCTAAAACGTCCATTCGCTCATATGTCGCTGTTCGCTAAAATGTCATTCGCTCATATAATATGGACCTGTTTTATTTATTTGTTACCAATCGTCGTGCTTGTTTATTTGTTTATTTTTTGCATTGAAATGTAGATTTTTTTTTTTTAGGTTTACTTGCGGGCAGCGTGCTCCCGGTAGTGCGAGTGTTATTGGTTTTCGTGCTTTTGTTATTTATTTTTATTTGACATTGTTTACAGCCCCCTTATTGTGTAATGTCCTTTTTAATCGGCATTAAGGATAAATGACGATGAAACGAGTGTGACTAAACTGTTTTTTCGCGTATAAGTCCCAGTAGCCAGTAAAACAATGCATCACTTTTCCTTTTGAATAATTAAGGGTGATGAGCATGCTTAATTTCAATTGAAATATTAAGGTTGTAATGTTGCAAATAAAAGGCTGCAAGGTGTATATTTGTTTAAAAATAACCAATATGAAGAAGAAAAAAAAACAGTGTTTACGCCCTTTTCCGCAACCCACCATTGGATCGAAGTTTTGCTTTGTGCCTACGCATATTTTTCTCCACCGCTTTTCTTCTTCCAGTAACTTTCGGTTCTATAAACGGGCATCGGAACTTGCAAATATCCGAATAGGCCGCTCGCGAAGTCCTGCGCGCTCTTGCTTTTCCATCTGACACGGATGAGAGCGAGTGGATAGCGCAGTTGCTCACCTTGGAGAGCAACTGCGCTAGGCATCGTCTTTTTCATCTGTTACAGACGCATGTACCTTAAGTTTCCGGCATTCCTTTCGGAACCGCAAAAAAAAAAAAAAAAAAAAAAAATTGTCGACGAAACGTTGTTCGGTGGTGCTGTCGACGAAACGATTGACGACGAAACGTCACACTGTCCACGAAACGTGTGTCCATGAAACGTGTGTCCACGAAAAGTTGTCCACGAAACGTAATTCCACGAAACGAGTTTCGACGAAATGATAGGGACCCTAGCCGAGCTAAGCCACCGCAATTTTGTTTCTTCGGAATGCATGCCGACAAGTCGGCGGTCGAGAACTCGGCCCGTCGGCCGATGGGGTCGTCGAATAGATGGGAATAGATGGCTTCAGGTACCACTAACGGGCCCCATTTTCGCTTTGAAATTTCCATGTAATCACTCGTAACTTTTAGATAAGAAGACGTAGTTCTGAGACTTTGGCATCTGCACGGTTCGAACCGCAAGCGCTACATTTTGGCGGAAAGTGAGCGTCCGAGGAGGCGTAGTTCATCTTCGCAATGAAAAGAGCATTATACATTTTGTGTACATTGTGTACACTGTATATTGAAGTGTGTGACGAATAGGGCCAAGCAAGAGGTCATCGCAGGTCGGCCGGACTTTGACCAAGGACGCATTCTGACCTTCTTAGGATACCAATCGTGGAGAAACAGAAAAAGGGACACAAGAGATGGCGCAGTGAACGCCGCCAACGAACGAGCATACGGCGGCGAGAGCCAGCGTCTTTAGCGGACAATCTTTTCGACTCAAAAACGGCGCGTTCTGCGGGCGGCGACAGTCGCAGAAACAAAAATAGGCGCGGTAACAGCAAGGAACTGCAGCTCCTTGTCTGCTAAATACGCCGGCTCTCGGCGTCGTCTGCTCGTTCGTTGGCGGCAGTTGGCGTCGCGACCGCTTGCGCCATCTCTTGTCTCCCGTGCGAAACGGCGCCGTGTTGTTTGCAGACCGGTGGCGTCGTTGCGTTTCCATAGGAGCTAAGCCTTTTTCTTTCTTTACTTTTTCCCCAGGTAAGTTCGCTCTTTGCAAATTTAAAAAAAAAAAAGCACCATCTGTGGGCAACGCTGCACAAAGTCGTAGCGCGATAGGTTAAGAAACCGAATTTTCCGGTCGATTTAAAGAACCTGCCGTCTCCTTGTATCACCCGATATGTTCTTTACGATCTTAGTTGATCATATGCGTTTATTGGACCAAGAAATTTCTTATACAAATACGATTTTTCACCAGGTTCTCTCCCTCTCTAAATATGCTCCCTTAACAATGTCGGGGCTCTTCGTCAGCGCAAGTACAAGATCGCAATGCGGGTCGTTCTCTTGGGCTTTCCATGCTTGCGGACGGCAACATGCGCGTACTCGACCAGAAGGGCCGTCGCAGCCAGAGCCATGCCGATGGGCCAGAGCGCAAACACCCCAAACACGTCGTCCACGCTCAGGGCGTTGGCTCGGATCTGCTGAAGGCCTTGCATCTTCCAGGTCTTGAGCAGCACGTTGTTCAGGTGCATGCCCATCAAGCCGGACTCGCAGATCCAGCGCGACCTGCGCAACGATCAGTGTATACTATGGGTGGCCATGCAAGAAGTCTGGCTCTTCTTACGGTTGCCAACTGTGTTCCATGTTTAACGCCGCGGCCACACAACTCATGCGTCATACAAAAGACAGTCTGCAGACACTGTCTGGGGCATGTTTCTTGGTTGTAGAATAAACCTGTCACATTGATCATACAAGAACGGTTCCCTCCAACATGTTCCAAGCATGCACATGTATGTATAGACCGACACACTGTTTCCAAACAAGCCCGCGTTTGGCCACACCAAGTGTGGGCACTGCGTGAGCGCAGAAACCAGATTAGCCTGAGGTGAAGGTTCTGCGCATGCGCCGTGGCGACAGCAGCGTCACTGCGGAGGCGTGACGTCAGAGCCCTGTGTTGGTGTATAAAGGAAACATGATTCGAACATGCCTGAGGCGTATCCACAGATAATTCTGTCGTCATGTCTTTTGCATCATGTATGAGCAGCGTGACATTTAAAGACCGACGAGCAGCCGGAAACGCCCCCCCCCCCCCCCCCCCCCCGTGGAACTCTCCCTCAATTCCTCCTTATTCGAGAAATAGTTGGACCGTCCGTCCTTCAGCGGAGAGGAGCTCAAGGACCCGCTGATGTTGGGAGAGGAGAAGAATGCGAGACGGAATGGAGGACGGGAAACTGGGAGCCTGTTTTCTTCCCTGCTGTAAATCGGCCTTTCAGGTTTGAGGATTTTAATGTTCTCCAACAGAAAGCGATACATTTGCGCCTAACGCGTTTGGACAGAAACAATTGGTAGCCAAAGAGGACAAGAAATGCACTTTTCGTTAGCGTTTATTCTGATTATATTGGTATTACCTAGCACGCATAGTTTGGGGAGAGTGGGTGTGAAGGACTCCGGCCGGTGCACGAAAGTACTTTCCGAGCAGACTGATCTTTAGGCTGGAGAACAATCTGATTGGCCAATAATCAGGTCCCGCTACCCAGCACCTCGGTGGCCTTAAATAGAGGGACCTGTTTACTCTCCGCTATTACGTGCCACCAATGGTCCGATAACGGGCAGCGATGATGTTGATTAGGTTCCTTTCTCACGTGTGTTATTGTATTGGCCTGATCTTGTTGGTGCGGCCAATAGCCAGTGGTGTCCAGACAACTGGAGTGACGTTTGGTGCCGTGGAGTCGCAACTGTGCAAAGACCTTACGCCCCGATGGTGCTATAGTCGGTGACAAGTTGAGAGTTCAGGGAAGCTCCTCCTAATTCTGTTCACTTTAGCAAAGCGAGCGCTGGAGGGGAGGCCACCTTCTCCCCAGCGTTCGCTCTGGGACAAGCTTCCCCTGAACTCCTAACCTGACATCGACTAGGAGAAGTCCGCTGTATGAGCTTGCCACCCGCGTATACCTGCGTATGGCAGATGGAGTAAAAAGAGTTTATAAGGTCGCGTAGTTAATTCATTGACTACCATAAATCCCGCAACGTGCTGGGGAAAACCACCAAGTAAAATATGCTAAGTATTGTAGTTGGAACTAGAAACGTTGTGAACCCTGACTTATGTTATTTGAATTTTATTATTTCTTCCGCACTAACATGCGCGAAAAGTAAAACCCCACGCCTTATTTTTGCATCCAGGAATGGATAAAGAGCTAGCCCCTGTAACTAAGGATTCGTATGCAATATGCAATGGTTTTGATGTTTACTGAAGATGAAAAAAGATTGGTTGAAGATTGAAAAAGAACGGTTACGTACATTCGGTGCAAGGATTTCTTGACACGTTGGGGCGCGTCATAGCTGACGTACATGGAACAAGGGAGCGTGACGGCTTTGTCCTTGCCTAAGTAGAACAGTCCCTTGGGCGGTTCATCGGGGTACAGCAGCTGGACGCTGTAGTGGTACAGGGACTGCTCCATGAAGACGACCTTCTTGCCGTCCAAAACGTCTTCGTAGGTGTCTCGCGAGAAGACGCGCTTGAAGGACCACTGGCTCTGGTGCTTCTGGATTCGCCTCCACACCTGGTTGTCTTCGGGGAAGGTTGAGGTCTGCGCACAAGCCGTTGCAAGATTTCTTTGTGGTGTGCCTGAAGGGCTTATGCGACTGCTTCGCCGGGCAGCGAAATTTCATACAGCAAGAAATCTCGTCGCCCATATGGCACTGTAGTTAGCTGTCCAAGAGCTACCCATTTTAAACGAACGAATAACTAACTGCCTTTGAAGCTGTTTGTGCCTTTCGTTGTTGTTGCGAGACATTGCGCATGGTTGTACCTCTGAAGATATTACAACGATTCACGACCCTGACTCTCAGAAAAAGGGTATATTCTTACTCCCCTTGTCCCATTTAAGATACACCAAAACTTCAGTTCGTCGGTCAGCGCGCTGAAGTCGAAGGATACAGATGCAGTTCGACGGTCAGCGCGCTGACGTCGAACCGACGGTACCAGCTTTCATCAGCGGCTTGATAGCCGAGTGGCACAACTTATTAAAATAGCTAATGTACGTGCTACTGACTTAGAAAAACGTAATCGGGGTTTTATTGGCTTTACTGCAAAACCTCAGTGTATTATTTTTTTTTTCTTCTGTAGACTTTGGTACATACTTTAGTTGTTTAATGAGGTATATCTCCACCGTTTTAAAGCCCCTCCTAGAAGTCTGGGCCGTCTGTTCGACGTTAGTGCGCTGTACGTCGAACTAAAGCTTTGGGGTGCATTTAATGGGACAAGGGTGTAAGACGACACAGTTTTTTTAGAGTGCTGACTTTTGTAATATGTGATTTCAGTCAGCATTATAGTCGACGTAGGGGAGAAATAATACGGGTCTCGGTGGGTATAATGAGTCTGATATATCTTACTGGCACGACAAGTGGGATAGCTGCCATTTACACAACTTACTCCATGATAATGCTCTAGCTGACGACCGAACGTGTTGCCTTGAAGGAACCAAATTTTCAGTTGTTTTTACCATGTATCAAAAAAAAAAAAAAAAAAAAACGATAGGACCATGGGCCTAAAGCAGTGTTTTTCGTGTGATAGTATTGACAATTTTCATTCATCCCGTGCTCATCTAAGGTTGCCATTCTCTCCCTAACCTTAATTTATTTTCTTTCTCTATCTCTCTATCTCTCATCGCGTGTTTGTTAACCTACTTTCACGGCTTCGTCTTTAGAGCGCCAGGCGCTGCGACTGTCTGATTCGCTCGAGGAGACTGGGCAGTTTAGTGTTCTATCTGCAAGGTGCCATCGATATCGCTGCACTGTTATGAAACATTCCGTCAAAGTACAGGACACATATAAAAACTTTATCCCACAACATGTTCTGTATGCTCTGCTATAAAGCAGGTTTCAAAGCTACCTGATATGAGACACGTTGCTGTCTCGAGTGTTGACACCGTGAGTTCCGTATACAATCATAATGGTGCAAGTGCTATTTGCTACAGCTACGGGAACTGTACCATTATAACAGAGGGCGTGACATGTTCTGTATGCTCTAATACAAAATATGATCCGTATATTAGCGGCGAGAAGTTAAGGTGGCGCCCTCCTACGGTTCCCCCTTGTGACGTCGTTACCTTGCAAACAACAAGTTCGATGGTGTTTGTAAATAGCATGGTGGAAGCTTGAAATCATTGCGCTCTCAAAGGAACACTGCCAACACCGTCAAAATTAAAAGTCTTTCATTCCTCTTATTTCCGTCGATGATATACCCTTTCCGACGTCATAAGTCAGCGTTCGGCCAATCGTGGAAGGCCGACCACAGCGACGCTTTCGGTCGCGCTCGTCGCCAATTCTTAATATGGGAAATGTTGCACCTTCAAAGGTTGACACCGCGAGTTCTGTATACCGTCATGATGGTGCAGGTGCTATTTACTACAGCTACGGGAAGTGTACCATCATAACAGAAAGTGTTACATGTTCTGTGGCAAACCATGGCGGAACTTGTTCCGTTTCAACATTGGAGAGCACATATTGTCACGAATGACAATTGATGAGGCGATGATAACTGAAGAAACTAAACGTTTAATGGGGCGAACTTGTGCCCAAAAACAAAACAAAAAGGGAAACGAAGAAAACAGCAGAGCGTCACGGTGTCGATGTCGGCGGAACCGCAGGATCGAGCGCTGGGGCGAGACTGACTCCGGCAGGCCACGCGGAGCCCCTTTTGTACACGCGTGGGCTTCTAGAGCAATCGGCGTAGAAGGTTCGGCGTGTAGAGCATTCTAACCTCGAATCAGCCAACACGGTTCTCGAATTTACCAGAACATTACATTAGAGTCAACAAAAATGCGTACCCGCGGCCTGGAGTCGAACCCTGGCCTTCTGCGTGAAAGGCACGCGCAATAACCGTTAGGCCATGAGCGCGCTGCCTACTTAGTCAGCTACGCTCGCGGCATTATTCCCCCCTTCAAGAAAGTGCATCGTCCCGATGCAGCACAAAGCGAAAACACAAGTACACAACAAAAGGATTGCAGAGTCGCGAGCCACAGTTCACAGTTTACAGTTCACTCTTTGACGAGACTCCAAAGTTTTATCGTGCGTAATACGGCTTGAGCCTGACGACTTGCACCACCTCGGGTCGTGGTAGTCGTCTTGCAGATGGGCGCGTTCCGTCGGGTAGAACTTCGTAGTTCAGATCGCTGAGGCGTCGGATGATTTTCTAGGGCCCGAAATAGCTTTTGAGAATCTTCTCGCTGAGACCGCGGCGCCGTATCGGTGTCCACACCCATACCCGGTCTCCGGGTTGGAAGTGGACGTCACTGCGACGAAGGTTATACCGGCGTGCGTCGACTTGCTGTTGCTCTTGAATCTTGATTCTTGCCAGTTGGCGAGCTTCCTCCGCGCGTTGAGAGATCAGTTGAGTGTCGTCGTTGCCATCGTCGGTAGGCACGTGAGGCAGCATGGCGTCCAGCATCGCGGTAACCGTCCGGCCATGTATCAGTTGGAACGGCGTCATTCCTGCGGTTTCGTGTACCGCTGCGTTGTACGCAAATTAACGTACGGCAACACCTCGTCCCACGTCTTCTGCTCTACGTCGAAGTACATGGAGACCATGTCGGCGATGGTCTAGTTCAGCCGCTCTGTTAGCCCGTTGGTTTGCGGGTGATAAGCGGTGGTTCGTCGATGGCTGGTGTGACTGTGCCGAAGTACCTCTTGAGTCAGCTGTGCTAGAAAAGATGACCCTCAATCTGTGATCAGCACTTCAGGTGCGCCGCGTCGAAGGAGAATGGACTCGACGAAAAACTTGGCGACTTCCACCGCTGTTCCCGATGGAAGGGCTTTCGTCTCGGCATATCGTGTAAGATAATCGGTCGCGGCAATAATCCACCGGTTTCCTTGCATCGATGTTGAAAACGGCCCAAGCAAATCTATTCTGACCTGCTGGAAGGGCGTAGTCGGGGCAGATATTGGATGCAGGAGTCCTGCTGGCTTTGTCGGAGGCTTCTTACGTAGTTGGCACTCATGGCACGACCGTGTGTAAAGATGGACGGTTCTCGGGAGTCTCGGCCAGTAGTACTTGTGATGAATCCGGGAGAGCGTCCTGCTGTAGCCAAGGTGTTCAGCCGTCGGGTCGTCATGGCATGCTTGAAAGGTTTCCTCTCGCAGGCTGGCAGGCACAACCAGCAGCCAGGCAGGGTTGCTGGTTCCGAAGTTCTTCTTGAAGAGCACGCCTCGGCGCAGAACGAAGCTTGACAAGTCCCGGGCCAAGACTCGCGGAACGAAACATCCTTGATCACGGCGCGAAGTTCCGGGTCGTCTTGTTGAGGTGCTCCCATGTTGGTATCTGTAACTGCTCCGAGGAAGCGGGCGTCATCGTTGTCGTCGGTGCTGTCGGGGGGAGATTCGACTGGGGCCCTAGACAAGCAGTCGGCGTCATTATGCTTGCGGCCAGACTTGGCACAATGGTTACGTCGAATTCTTGCGGTCGAAGACTACAGCGAGCGAGGCGTCCTGACGGGTCGTTGAGGTTTGCGAGCCAGCAGAGGGCGTGGTGGTCGGTAACCACGCGGAACGGGATCCCGTACAAGTACAGACGGATCTTGGTTATCGCCCAGACGACAGCAAGGCATTCTTTGTCGGTCGTTGAATACTTTTGTTCCGCCTTGGACAGCGCCCGGCTTGCGTAAGCGATTACTCTCTCTGCCCCTTCTTGTCGCTGAACGTGTACCGCACCGAGACCGGTATTGCTGGCGTCCGTGTGTATTTCTGTCTCCGCCGACTGATCAAAATAACCGAGGATAGGGGGTGACTGGAGCCTTCGCTTGAGTTCGTCAAACGCTTGTTCGTGATCCTCTCTCACTAGAACTGCACGTCGTCCTTTGTCAGATGCGTCAGCGGTGCAGAGATCTGTGCGAAGTCACGAACGAAACGTCTGTAGTAGGCGCACAGCCCAAGGAATCTCTGGACGGCCTTCTTATCCGATGGCTTCGGGAATTTGGCGACAGCGGACGTTTTTGCAGGGTCAGGGCTTACACCCCGAGCACTCATGACGTTGCCCAAGAATTTCAGCTCACCATAGGCGAACCGACACTTCGAAGGCTTGAGTGTCAGCCCAGCAGCCTTGAAGGTCCGTAGCACGGCTCGCAGTCGTCTGAGGTGCTCGTCGAACTCACTTGTGAACACAACAACGTCATCGAGGTAGACAAGACAGCTCTGCCATTTACCGCCGGAAAGGACGGTGTCCATAACACGCTGGAAGGTTGTCGGCGCTGTGCACAGCCCGAACGGCATTACTTTAAATTCATACAGTCCGTCGGGTGTGACGAAGGCCGTCTTCTCACGATCTCGTTCGTCGACCTCAATCTGCATGTACCCGCTCTTCAAGTCCATCGACGAAAAGTATCGGGCGTGGCGCAGCCGGTCCAGGGTGTCGTCGATGCGGGGCAGCGGTAGATGTCCTTTTTTGTTACTGCATTTAGCCGGCGGTAGTCCTCGCAGAACCTCAGGGTTCCGTCTTTTTTCTTCACCAGGACTACTGGGGAAGCCCCCGGATTGTTTGAGGGCTGGACGATGTCGTCATCAAGCATTTCCTGAACTTGCTTCTGGATAACTTCCCTTTCTTTCACGGAGACTCGGTACGGTGGCCGATGAAGCACTCACTGAACTCGGCGAGAAGGTCACTGAGTTGTCGTCGTTGTGGGGCTGGGAGGGACGGGTCGATGCTGAGCTCTGATGGCGTGGTTCTCTTGTGCTGCGTTGGAGAGGCGTCTTCTGAGATCGCGGCGATCGGAGCTGAGTCCTGAATTTCCTGGACGAATCCCGCAGTTGTACCCTTTGTAAGGTGCTGCGATTCTTGCCGGAAGTTGGTGACAAGGGCTGCGGTACGCCCGTCCTGGAGCTCGGTTGCGCCTCTTGCGATGCCAGTCCCTCGTCCAAGGAGAAGTTGGACCCTTCCTACCAACAGTGCTACACCGCAGGTGACTTCTTCCGTCCCGACGGGCAGAAAGACACTCGACAGCGGCGGCAGGTTTACGTGGCTGGTAAGGACTCGCACTGTAGCTAACGTCGCTTTGGAAGGTTCCGCCGATGGGACAGGTTTCCGAAGCGTCAACTTGTTCTCCGCAAGGTCGATGATGGCGCCATATTCACACAAGAAGTCTATTCCGAGAATGACGTCTCTCGAACAGTCTTGCAGAACGACAAACTTCACAGGGCAGGTTTCACCGTGGATCTCAACGCGAGTGGTGCACCTGCCAACAGGTGTGATGAGATGTTCGCCGGCGGTTCGTATCTGCGGTCCGTCCCACGGCGTCGTAACTTTTCGAAGGCGGCGAGAGAGCCTCCCATCAAAACGGAGTAGTTTGCCCCGGTGTTGACGCGTGCCGTCGCTTCGTGGCCGTCGATGATAATGTTGAGGTTATTCGACACTCTTGCAGAAACTTCGTTTCGGGGCGTTGCGGCGTTAGAGTGGGAGCGCTCCGACGACCTTGGAGGATCTTGGCATTGTTCGTCTTCGGCAACACCACCTCCCGGCATTGCCGCGCCTAGTTTTCCCGACGGGAAGCGATAGGTGACAGGCTGTCTCGGGGAGACCGGCGGAAGGGTGATGGCGAGCGTCGGGTGAACGGAATCCTCGGCGGGGAGTTGACCCAGAAGATGAAGAGCGGCGGAGGTAGTCCTCGATGTTCCGAAGTCGCTCTCCGAGACGTGGTCGAGGGTCGTTGGGTGCAAAACCCTGTAGGCCCAGCTGGCGTTAGGGGGATCGTCGTATGTGGTCCGCTTCACTGCAGTGGTAAAACAGCGGGCGTCGGTCGGCCGTCCTCCAGACGTCGGTCTTTCTTGGCGCAACTTGTTCTGGACCAACGTGCGCCCGATCTTCCTGGCATCGGGAATGCTGCGGCTCTGAAGGCACACGTCGGGGGGGGGGGGGGGGGGGGTGACGCCATGTACGGACGCGGAACTGGTGGGGTTCGTCGGACCATTGCGGCGTAGCTTGACGTCGGTTCGTCTGGTGTCGCCGTGTTGATGGGAACTTCAGGGTGGACCGCCCGTTGTACTTCCTCGCGCACAGCCTCGGTGATGGAGAGTGTCGCTGGACGGCTAGCGGCCGGCAGCAACTGGCGGATTTCCTCCCGGACGACCGTCCGGATAATTTCTCGGATGTCCGTACGAGGAGCGTTTTCACCGCTGAGCAGAGCGGTTGCTGTGACGCTTGGATGCCGCTGGTAGTGGGAAGTGTGCGCCTGGAGGGCGCTCTCGATGTGTGTTGCCTCGGTTACGAAGGCGTCGACGGTTGTCGGCGGATTGCGGACGAGGCCTCGGAAGATGTCGTCTCTCACCCCGCGCATGAGGATTCGTAGCTGCTTCTCTTTTGTAGCCCGGGGGTCGGCGCGGGCGGTCAGGCGCAGAATGTCTTCCTCGAAGCCGGTGACGCTCTCGTTAGGGCCCTAGGTTCTGGTTCGCAGTAGGTCCTCGGCCGAGAGAGCGGCGGTGGTGGTTGATGAATGTAGCCTTCAGATTGGTCTTGAAAATGTCCCACGACGTCAAAGAGGACTCATGGTTCTTGTACCAGTGCTTGGCGGTCCTCTCAAGCGAAAAATAGACGTTGTTGTGCAGGCGCTGCTCGTCGGTCCAGCTATTGTGGCGGGCAACGCGTTTATACTGGTCAATCCAGTCTTCGACGTCGTCGTATTGCTCGCCGTGGAACGGAGCAGCCGTCCGCGGTACGACGGGCAGGGAAACGACGGCAGAAGCGGCCGGGGTCTGCGGCTGGTTGGCCATCGTCATCTTCTTTGGCTTGGGCTTGTCCGGCAGCAAACCTAATTCAGCAGCCTGTCCCTGGATGCGGCGGCTGGCCCGAGTTTCACGTTCCTCGTAGAGCGGTCTTCTCGACAGGCTTGAAATCGGACTTGCGCTGCGGGCCCTCATAGGGGTACACTGCAAGGACATGCGTTACCCCGCACCTCCACCAAAATGTCACGAATGACAATTGATGACGCGATGATAACTGAAAAAAACTAAACGTTTAATGGAGCTAACTTGTGCCCAAAGCAAACAAAACAAAAAGAGAAAAGAAGAAAACAGCAGAGCGTCGCGGGCGTCGATGTCGCCGAAACCGCAGGATCGAGCGCTGGGGCGAGATTGACTCCGGCTGGCCACGCGGAGCCCCTTTTGTATACGCGTGGGATTCTAGAACAATTGGCGTAGAAGATTCGGCGAGTAGAACATTCTAACCTCGAATCAGCCAACACGATTCTCGAATTTACCAGAACATTACATTAGAGTCAACGAAGATGCGTACCCGCGGCCTGGAGTCGAACCCTGGCACGCGCGATAACCGTTGGGCCACGAGCGCGCTGCCTACTTAGTCAGCTGCGCTCACGGCAATATTCCGATGTGCCTGAAAACAGTACAGGTTGCGTTTTGTGATAGCCCATGTCCCGTTTTATATTAGACTGCTACAAAAAACAACAAAAAAAATTACCAATTTTTTTTGCAAGGCTTTTCGAGAGCCTATCATCGCAATCGACAGGGCAACTCAGGGAATTACGAGGCCGAGTACATGTCTATACCCAAAAACGAGGTGCGCGATGTGGACGTTAACCAAAGCAAAATTTCACGCTTGCATTGCTTAAGGTCTCAGCGCAGACTTCGTTTTTGGTCAAACACTTGTGTTTGACCTCGCAATTCGCTGGCATGCCCCGTAAAATACGGTGATTGGCTGTCTGATTGTTCAGCGAGAATTTAGACAGACGACGTTCTTTGGCGTGAATGACAGTACAGGTTCTTTTCTTACCCTATTATATGATATCTTTAATTTTTGGTTTTTGAATCTTTATGCTGTGGGCGCGTACACACAAATATACTCAGCAAGTCGGAAGTTTGTCACACCGAGAACATTGAGTCTTTTTTGTAACTTCGTTCAATGCCTGCCATATTTGCATGTGACAACAACAAAAAATTGTCAGTAAAAATTCCAACGCATTTGAAATACACATGTTCGAAGTTTCTACTATCAAATCATAACAACAGGCTCATATGTAAGAAAACTGAGGAGTTACCACAGCGATATTAATGTTTTATCTTGGAAATCGCAGAAAAATACCATTAAAAATGAACTTACGATAAATGAATGCCTGCAACCCAGTGACCCAGCTACATTTTAAAGATTACAGTCAGTTGCAAAATAAACGAATGAAGAAAAACAAATCTAAACAAAAGCTTCATTCCGCACGCAGCCACTTCTGTTTGAACTTCGCCAGTTCTTGAAAAACTCCCTGCACCTTCTGATGTATCTATGCCATGTGATTGCCAGTTAAGAGTGCCTTCACCGCAGTCCACAGAGTACTGTGTGCAGCATCTACTAGGACATACGCTGAGAATGACGTCGAAGGACATGCCGTCGATGATGATGGGCAAGATGTCGGGCCTCTTCACGATGTCCTTTATGCTCTCGATGCGCGGCGCTTCCGTCTTGATGGTCATGCTGGCCTGCATGTAACTCGTGAACATGGTGGTCGTGAAGAGGACGCCAAGCCACCAGACCCCGATGAGCATCCTCGTGTTGTCCGGACATCGCGACGGACCTGCGAGGTATTACGCATAGATTCAAATGTGTAAAATTTCACGAGATTAATGTAACCCAAGCCAATGTGACTTCAGGGGCCGCGCCTAACTTGTCAGAAAGAAGAGATACGTCGTATACATATCTGATATTTTAGTTTGTCGCTTACCAGTAGCCGTTGGACCTCGGTAGCACGCCCGTTAAATTGTTGCTGAATGTCAGACATTCGAGACGGCGAACGAAGACCGAAGTAAGGACACGGAGAGGGAACAATGACTGAAGTGAAAAGTTTATTTAAAGCGTGTGGTAAATTTATCCGTTTCTTGTTTCCACTCCATATACCCTTGCGAAAGTGCGCGCTCTCTGGCAGCTGCTACGCCAATTGTTCGAGTTAGGCGAATGGCAAACGGTACACTGCGTGTTCCTCGACATCAGTCGTGCATTTGATACATTGCGCATATCCAACCATCATCCACCGACGAAAGCATTTTGGGATTTGTGGCAGACACTTATCTTTTATTGAGGCTTTTCTTTCTGGACGGTCCGTGAGCGTGAAATTGCCAGATGCTACTAGCACATCTAAACATATTGCTCAGGGGATACCCCAAGGAAGTGTATTGAGCCCTCTTCTTTTCAATCTTGCCATAAGCGTCCTCCCTCGATGTCTTCCAGCAAAGAACCGAGCTCTTCGGATAGGCATGGCAATTCACGCGGATGATGTTGCGTTGTGTTGCATCGGGCCCTCAAGGAACGGTATAGGGATCCGTAATCGACTCCAGGTGGCACTGGACTCTACTGCACTAGCCATAGCCCAACTAGGCCTTACTCTATCTGCGGAAAAAACTGCCTCACTCTTCTACCGACCCACAGGCCGAGCACCACAGAATGCGCTACGGCTAAAACTTGCTGGAACGCCAGTTAAAAGGGTGAAAATCCACACGTATCTCGGCGTTATTATCGACGATCGGGTGACATGGAGACCTGAAGTACGCAAAAGACTTGAACATTTCCGTCAACTGCTACGTGTCGTTAAACAGCTCGGAGGCTCCTCCTGGGGTGCATCCCAACGTGCACTACTTCAAATGTGCAAAGGGCTCATCATGTCCAGGCTGCTCTGCTCACTGTCACAACTGGCTGTTGCAAGGGCACAAATCCGAGACATTGATACTTTTCACCGGTCCGCACTACGAAGCTGCTTTTGACTCCTTCCTTCAGCAGAGAACGTGGCGACAATTGTTGCAGCGGAAGAGTGGCCGCTGTCTTTGAGACTTGAAGAGAGGGCGCTGCGCAGCATCGCTCGTATGAGAAGTCTTCCCATGCAGACACAATCCGTAAACATCTCTTTGCCCGGCCGATCTCTCACCTAGGGCGCCAAGCAAGACAATTCAACTTCGAGGTTGGAGCTCCTAGAGAATTTATCCTTCCTCAACCACCACATTCCACGCGCCCTCCTCTGAAGATACATGAGACGCTCCCAATCCCACAGAGCAAGGCGAACGTCCCAGCGTGTGTCGCTCGCTCAATCGCTCTCAAACGCATGGAAGAAGTGTACAAAGGTTGGATTCATGTTTATTCAGACGCCTCAATGAACCTTACCAAGTGGACTGCCACGGTAGGAATTACCATTCCAGAAATGGGCTATGATATATCGGGCAGGCTACATTTTGTATCGTCGCCAACCACGGCAGAACTCGTTGCCGTCTGGTCTACTCTTGAGTCTATTAAGAACACCTCGTCACCAACAAAATCTGTCGTACTCACAGACTCAAAGGGTGCTCTTCAGCAGCTTAGAGACTTCATAATGCAACCCCACTGCTGGCGAGAGTCGCGTCTGAGGCAGCGCAGTTGAAGACATGGGATGGTGCCTTGCTTTGCAATTGATCCCGTCTCATGTCGAGATTCCTGGCAACGAACGGGCTGACCAGCTGGCTGCAAAAGGCGCATGACGATCCTGTCCCAACCTTCTTACTGGATCGCTTCAACGAGGCTCATCGATTCATCCGTGAGATCCTCACAGAACGGCATCCACATCCTGGGATCGCAATGGGAAGGCCACCCCCCGTGGATCCCCGAGACAAGCCTTCTCTACAGGCTTCGGGCTGGTTGCCCATACACTATCATGCTGCTCCAGATGATGCGTCGCAAAGCGGATTCCAACTGCCCCACCTGCGGCGACCCAGAGGACTCAGAAAATGCCCTTCTCGTTTGTTCCACACATCAAGAGGCTAGAATAACTATTTTCCATCACTACACACTATATGGACTGCCATAACGAATCATTACAGAACTTTTGAACCCCAGAGGGACCAGAGGAGGAGCGGAGAAAGCCTTCCGCGCCCTTCTGCTTTTTCTCCGTGACACTAGGCTGGCGGATAGACTGTGATTTGCTTCCACTTCGCTCCCTAACCAAAGGCTCTGAACTTTGTTGATAACTAACTGGGCCGAAATTTATCACTAGGTTAGTAGCTAAAAATGGACATTTTAACCCCTCTTTTTTGTATATAATTTTCATCTGCCCTCTTTCTACCCTTTTTCCTCAACAACCATTTTTCCCCAACAACAAATACAGATAAAAATAAGCAAGGGCAACACTTTAAATGCCGCATGGCAATTAGTTCAGGGAGGAAACGTGGCACCCGTCATTCGGTCCGTGGATATTGCGGTGACTTGTTTTGGCGGACTGTCTTCTGTATGATATGTATGAACAGTCTGACCCCGGCTTTGCAGTAAAGTATCGAAGGCTCAGCCGTGTCCTCCTCCTCTCTACAAGTTACACACACCGTATCTAATCAGTTCACAACGCTCCCGTCCTTGCCTCAAACAACAAGGAGCTCCCCTTAAAATTGTCCAAGATGGGCTCCTTAGTATTGTCGTTCTTAAACGATCTGTAAATTTCGAAGTCCGATTTAGTCTGCATGCCTGCTTCCCATATGTCCATCTAAGTTTCTTTATCACTCTTCTTAACTTTTAATTTCTCCTCCGCCTCCCTACTATTGCCCATATATTTATGTCTAAGTTTTCTAATCCGCTTTTTTCATTTTGTATCGACGCTTCTTGTGTGTAAATAGCTAAGAACTCTTCGTGCCGATCGTTCTGCATCTATTTTTCTTCTCCTGTCCTGAAATTCCGTCTTACTGCTAGCTCCCCTGCCCTCAAATGAGGATCATCCCTTATCGCCATGTACACCTTGGTTTGGTGGTTTACCATGTGCTCCCAGAACCAATCTACCTTCTCCACGTTGCTTTATTTCTAGCCTTGTCTAGGCGTCCAGTTTTATGCACATTTGCAGAAGGCTCGGAAACATAACTCCTTTCCAAATCTCCCTCACCACCTCATGCCTGTTATAGTTGCTCAATGCTTTATTTTTTTTTAATTTTTTAACCGCAAACAGCAAGGTTGTTAAATTGAAACCTACACTTGTGCCAAAGCCCCATCACATTATTCGACTGGTTTCCAGATTTCCACACTATCTCTTTTAGCCACTTACGGCTCCTCCCGCTTCCCCAAGCCGGGTAGCGACTCTCCCCGTACAGGAGGCCAACATCTCTCCTGGCTTTCCGCTTCCTTCTCTGGCCCTCATGACAAGAAGAAAAAGAAACTCTATTTTTATTACAGCTGCATTTCTGTTGCCCTTACCAGTTACACATTTTGCATGTTCATTGAACAATTCTGCACCTTCGTTAATCCATACTCCTGGATACTTGTATTTATCTACTCGCTCGACCTCTAATCCTTGTATCTTTATATCTGAAATTTTGTAGTCTTTGACCACCATGACCACTGACTTGTGACTAATGAAATATAAGCCCTGTTTGTGTCCATTCATTAGGGATTGAAGCTCTATGTTGCTATCGGCCATTAGCACTATATCATCAGTATACACCAGACCTGGTAATGACGGTTTAATCTTTTACAGCGAAGCTGTATATGGCAAGGATTTCATGCATTTTTGGCATCCGTGCGCAAAAAGAGAAGTTTGTAACTGCTTGTAAAATCGCTCCATTGTATGGAAATGCATATACGCCCCCTCACACCAATCTGCATTTTGATGAGGAAAGACGTCCAAACGTGTGATACTGGAGATACATTCGAGAACAATTGGCCTTCTCCCGCTCGAGTCCGGTCACGTCACTGCTTGGCATATATAAAAGCAGGAGCTTTTATATATGTAAATAATTATATAATTAAAATAAGAACACCGACTTGACATAACAGAAAAAAACAATTTCATTAGACGTTTCGCCTCCCATGCGGGCCTCCCGCATGGGAGGCGAAACGTCTAATGAAATTGTTTTTTACTGATGTACCTTGCATTGCTGATGATGCCTCATCATCAGTAAATGCAAGGTTCAACCTCAACTCAACGCTATTTATCACGAATGTCCGTGTAAGCTTCGTGGAGAGGGCCGTGGTTTTTGTTGCGCACGGATGTGTCCCTGCTAACAAACCACGATTCTAGGAGCTTTCTAGGCCCCCATCTGTCCTCCCTCGCCAAGGTCGTCGCGGCCGGAAAGTCGAAAGAATGCCCCATTGTCCACGCATGGTCCACCAGTTCAGTCTTCAGTCGCGTCGCGTGGGATGCGTACGTGACGTCACGCTTGTGTTCTTTGAGTCTGGTATCTCTCCTCCGTCCGGTAATGGGCCTTTTCCGGGGTTTCCACGGCGCATGCGGGGCAGCAGCAGACAGGAGTCCGCCATTTTTGGTGGCGTGGAACGTCCGGTTCGGGGCTACAGGAGGCAGCGGTGGTCGCGCGTTTCGAAGCTTTCCGACTGGCCCTAGCGCTGTTTCGTTGTTGGCTGCAGCAACGACTGCAACGGTTTTCGGGGTTTAAGATTCTTTGGGTTTTCTTCTACTAGCCTGCACTCGACGAAGCGGCAGCTCTGGATTCCGGCGATCCAGCGATACAATGCGGAGGGCTCGTAAAGGCAGCCTTCAAAGCACTCCCGCGTTTGCCGTTGCCATTTCAAGGAAGGTTCATGTTTTTGTTCCTTCATTTTTTATTGGTGTGTG